GCCGCTACTAAACATCAGATATCAGAGGTAAAAAAAAAAGAGGATCGGTGCATCCCTGGTTTTTAATACGACAGAATGTGAAACAGTGAAAAGAGGGTGAGACATAAATGTTTTTCTTTCCGTGCTCATGTTCAGTGCTGAAGTAAAGATGTTCAAACAAGCTGCTCCGTTTGCCTCCTGCTGGGCCACCAACCTAAATCCATTTACATCTCTGAGCTGCTGTGAAGCTCCTAAACACAAACCCACCAACACACACGCACACACACACGTATATAAACACGGCAGTGTAAAATTCTTACATGCATTCATGTTGTATCTGCAGAAGCAGAGCTGTTGTCATATCCTGTCTAGTGTTTCTTTCCTACTCCTATCTCCCAACATTGTCCGCGTTATTTACCTCGGACGCAACACTTCTCTGTAAACTTCTTGAACAAAGTCTGCTGCTCATCGGCCGCTTTCCTCCACGGGCCAAAGGCGGCAGGCGTGACGACCCGAGGGAAATGTAAACCGACACACGAAAACACACAAACACCATCAATACGCCGAGGCAAACACACACGAACCTGCGCGCGTGCCGCAGCTCACCTCAAGCCTCCCTGGTTGACTGAACGCCGCTGGCTTATGATGGATTAGTGGACCAAACAACAAAGTCTGGCTGAGGGATTTCTCAAACGGCGAATGAGCACCTTGTCGTGAATTGAAACACGCTGGATTAGGTGGCGGCGGCGCGGGGGGAGGAGCCTAGCGATGAACTTGTTGACAGGTGAGCCAATCATTAACTGAAGTGAACTCAGTGAGGGATCAGTAAACCTTCACTGAGATTGGGCAACGAACCTCATCAAACAGTGACCGTTCTCAACACGAAGTAATGTTATTGCTTCGTGTTTATGGATTGTTAGTCAAAGATGAGTGCGGAAATCATGTCTGGAAATTTGGAAAGCACTTGAAATTTGTTGGTGTGAAAAATAAAAAAGACAGCAAACAAAGTCCTTATCAGACCTTCCTTCATTCCAGTGGACTCTCTCGCAGTCCATAAAATGTTCCCTTAAACATTAACTGGAAGCTAAAATGGGCTTTTCTCTGTCAGAAGGAAAGGTGAGAATGTTAACTCTTTACTCCGAAGCTGGTTTTCTGGTGTAAAAAGGTATTTGAAAGTGAAGAGAATCCCCTGGTGAAATGGAAGATAATTAAAAATCAGAAAAAGGAGGGAAAAAAATACTATTCAATGAGCCACTTTCAAGGAAAAATTATGCCGTTTTGAAATGAGGCTCTATGAAGTTATTGTGTTTGATCTGTAGAAGAAAGACACCATGAGGCAAAGAAAAGTGAAGAAGTCCTCAGAATGGTGGAAGAGTAACAGGAAATCAGTGACGGTCTCTCTCTTTTTGACTGGGGAAAATATCAAACTTATTTAACCTCACAGGTTCGTCACTGTTTTCCAAAAATGGTGACAAGAGGTTCAAACTCTCACTTGCACTAAACTTCATTCACAAAACAGAAAGTTGTGCTTCAAAGACATGAACCTTTGACTTAAAGGGGCAGTGTTATGTGAAATCATCTTTTTTTGGCACAAGGAATTCATATTTAAGTGTTTTTAAATTTCATTTTGTTTCAAAAATGGATTTCTGTGGCCTACATTCTTTCAATTGGACCAGCTCTGATTTTGTAGATGGAGCTTTGGACAACTCCGCTCTAAAGAGTTGACTCAGACTTGTGGTCTAAGACTCCTCTTTATCTTTTCCTTTAAAAGCCAGTCAGTATTTAAAGTACAGATTGTAACTCTGGTAATGCGCTGTAAATGTTTTCTTCCACATTATAAATAAATAAGATCTTCTCCCACTGTTAAGCTAGCAGCATCATTAGAGAGGTTCTTCTGGCTTATAAGAATAAAAATACTTCCTGTTCTGTTTACTCAGAATTTAACTTCTTGTCCTTTTACTAAACTAATTGCACATCCTTCACTATGGTGGGATCTTTAATTTCTTTGGAACACCTTTAGACTTGATGAAGACAGGAAATCCTGCCACTCAAAATGAAGAGAATAAAGGGATGAACTGGTATTAACAAAGTTCTTACAAAGACGAAATTAAATGTGCTTTGATTAAACCAGAAATTCAAGATAGGCTTTTTCTGAACAGGAATATAGGCAATGCTTTCTCAAATTTTATAATTATATAAAGAGTTATTTTAGATAGCGCATTGCAACAGGTAACAGAAATGAAAAACAAGAGGGCATCTCTGATTGGCTGTTTTACTGCCTCGAGGACGGATATTATATCTACAATTCAATTACGAAGTGAAATATTACTTCACAGGACTTCGCCTCAAACACTTTAAATGATCCTTTCAGGTTTATTTTAAAAGGATGTGGCTCCATCAAGACATTTAATCATGTTTCGTATCAGAAATCCTAACTCTAAGATTTCAAACTGTCCATTTCATAAGACAAGAACAAAGGTTGGTGGCTCATCCCCTGCAGGTATTCGGTTTGTTTACCTTGTAGCTAACATGCGCTGGTATGAAGGCTTCGTGCAGCTAAATGTCAAATTTTCATTGAATTCACAGGGTGATCAGGCTACAAGTGGAGCATTCAGAGTCTGAGTCAGAGAGAGAAGGGGGAGTGAATAGCTGTGGTTAGCTTGATATGAGGCCTGGGGCTGTTTCCTGGATTCCTGTCTACTTTCTCTCTGTGTTCGAGCTGACGGGTCGCTGACCTGCCCAGTGGTCTAGGGCATGACTCACTCATCTCCCTCCCCAACCCTGCAGGTGCAGACCGCTCCTTCCACTTCTGCAGATGGTGAACTTCTATAAACGCACAATAATTAAAAGCAGAGACACATCTGACGACATGTCTACAGGCAACCAAACCAGAACGTTGTCATGTTGTTGTTTTTTTGTGATTGTTGTAGCCTAAAATTACAACTTTTTCTCAAAGTTACAGATTTTTTTAAGCTTTATTTTTACAAAAAAAAACAAACAACTTTTAAATTGCTGTACAGATCCTACCCTTTCCTTCTCTTTTTCTCATTACGTTATAATCACCTGAGAAGACCAGACATCGTCACCGTCCTCTCCCCAACTCTTTACTCTTTCTACTGTGACAATATAGATTTATGTTAAACATGTGCAAAGCAAAAGTAACAGGAGTTATGAAAATAAATTTACTTTATGGAAACAAGGCAATTTTTTTTCAGGGGGGTGGGGGGAGGCCTCACATTCTTTGATAAAAAAGTTTTTGCCAAAGGTTCAGGTGGTTTTTCGGCTGCATCAAAATTAGCGTGTTTCGCAAAATTGCAATGGAAACACTTTAATCGCATCAAACAAGTTAATGTCAACAAGCGGATGTTACTACTGGCAAAAACAACAAAGAGAACAACAGGAACCAGTAGGAGGATGACAGCACAGATTGCTTTTCTTAATTACTTATCACGTGAACAAACTCATTCACGTGTGATTTTATTAGCATTTCTTAATCGATGTAAACACCGCAAATGTAAAATTTCCTCTTTTTTTTCCATTTTCCAAATATCAAGAATGTTTTGTACACATTTGTAATGGAAACCCAGAGAGTGATTGGTTTTATTAATGAACTAGGAAGAGATGTAAACTAGATAACAACATTAGTATTCTTAAATTAAAATGCCGTTAAATGATGAGATGGATCATTCAGCTGACATTATCTACATACAGCAGCTTTACTCAACTTACACGGCTGAAAACAGTGCTGAGGACAGACGGTACAAAAACAGGAAGTGTGGGGAACATGTCCCACAAATATTCCACATTAACTTTTTACACAGTGTAAGCAAATCTTATACTGCAAGAACAGTTCAAAATAGTTTTCGCAAAAACAAAAGAGTTAAATGTTACCACTTAGTGTCACACATCTTGCAGGCTTAGCTCTCAAAAAATTAGAAGGAAGCAAAGTTGCAGCGATTGGTGAGAAAATGTTAGAGTAATTGGTCTGATTCTCAGAAAAGTTGCGATGATAGGTGAAACTTACAAGTCTGTAGGAAATGTTCAAATGATGAGCTAGAGTCTTACTGTATGGGGTTTGAGTGTTCTCCTTGTGAATGCTGGTTTCTCTCCAGGTACTCCTGGTCTCTCATGAGCCTTCGGTATCATTGTCTGCCCTGTAATGACCTAGCAATCTGTTCAGGGACCATCTTGCCTCTTGCCCAATGACCACTGCAGATTGGCACCACCTCCCACGATGAATAGTTAATTTTTTTTTCCTCCTCTCTTTTTAAAAAGCTGTTCTCATTACGCTCCAACACCCATGAATTGTTAGGCACAACTAGTGACTGTGAATTAGTATTCTGGTGGCTGAGCCGCTGCCACCTTCAGAGGTTAGAGGCTATTAGTGTCCAGCAGAAACACCGGCGCGGGCGGAGGTCTGCTCTCCCTCTCGGGGGAATCAGGATGGATGATGTTCATTTGAGATCACATCCAAAACCAAGTGATGAATGTATTGACTTTATTCTGGCAGCCGTATCTCTGTGTGTGTGTCCGTGAGGAGTGAAACGGAAACAGATCACTCATCTATTTTTTTCCCCTGCAGGATGTGACTGGTTATAATTGAATAGCCTGCTTTCAAGGGGCTGAACAGTGCCTGTTTAGGAGTGATCCAGGCTGGCATAATAATCCATGTACTCTTGAACCTGCACCGCCTCACACAGCCCAACAAACCACGTCGACTACTATCATCCTGCACAGGTCAAACCGGTTTTTATGGTTTTTGTCAGACAAAAAGAAAATTCTTGAAAAGCCAGTTTGGTCGCAAACCTTCTTGAGAAACATTGAAATCCTTTTCCCCTTTATTTACAAAGAAGAAACACACTGAACCATTAAGCTCACGAAACTGAACTTTCCACGCAGAAACGGAAAAACACCAAAACATGTAATCTTTCCCAAATAGAGGCCCTTTAAGACTTCATGGCTAAAATGCAAAAAAAAAAAAACACTGAAGCGGAGACTAAATCAAAGTAGTGCCACTGTACCTGCATGGAGCATGGTAAAAGGGGTATCCAGGATGAGGTATGTGGTTACAGTAGCTGGATTGATTCCACATTATGCTTCTCTTGGTTCAACCACAGCTTCCAAGCGCTCAGGACGTTTCTCACCGCTCTCTGTTTCTAGTGCCGGCGAGTGGAATCCGACTCAGGCGGCTCGGAGGCACATAAATTGGCGCCGCTTGTTGCGCGTTTCGAGCGGCTCCATTGGAAAAGAGTGAGAGGGTTGGAACAGCTGACGCGATGAGGCAAGAGAGTGATGATCCAAGGGATGAGATGACGTGAGTCAGGTCTCAACACCTGGAAACGGCTCGTCTTGCTCAGCAGAGTAAGGTGGAGTGTGAAATCACAGGTTACTCCCCTTGTCCTGCCTCAAGCCAGTTATTTTCCCCTTCCTTTCAGGTGCAGTCAGGATAGCGGACGCCTCTCAGACCATGCGATGAAGCATGTGTCATCGCCATATGTCTCAGTGATTCAAAACAAGCAACCAGGTGTTTTCAGTCTCACAGGTGTAGCTCTCTGTCCGACAGACTTCAAGGCAAATCAGAGTTGTCTTAATAGTCTCCAACACCAATTAGAAGCAGTTTGTGCCAGAGGTATTACCTCTCTAAACTTCCCAGGTGTCACTATACATGAGTGGGTAAAAATCCAGAGCCACAGCGTCCCGCCGCTCTTCCATCTGAGACAGCTGCCTGCTGTCACGAGTGTTTATTCTCCAAATTACAGGATCCTCGCCGGCTCTCCAGCCTCATGAAGCGGCAGCGGCGCACGCAACTGATCGACTGAGCACCACAACAGAAAGGAAGAGAGAAGGAGAGAAAGGGAGGATATGGCAGCGGGAGAGTGAATCTACCGAGAGAGAGAGAGAGAGAGAGAGAGAGAGAGAGAGAGAGAGAGGAAGAGGTTCCCGGGGTGGAGCTGCCTTCTCCTTCCCGCGAAATACTCATTTAGCAGGATACACACCGCAGGGAGGAGGAGAAGGCGTGTGTGTGTGCGCGCGTGTGTGTGTGCGTGTGTGTGAGAATGTAATGCTATGTAAATGAAGACCTATTTGAACACACTTGCCTGAATACCTTTCATACCCTTTGTGCTCCCTTAAAAAGAAACAGTTCTGTCCGATTTATGAGATCGAAATTGAGCTTTGCTGCTGGTGTGCCTTTTGGCATTTTGGAAAACAGTATTTCAATGATGCTCCGTTGCTCTCCAAGGCTGATGCTTTGCTAGCCATTTCACAGCTTGGTTTTCACACCGAATAGCAATCTATTCTTAATTTAACCAAGAGAACTTGTGTCTAAATATAACCAACTTATTTTGCATCAAGCTAAACAACTAGTAAGAGAGAACATAATTTAAGGCTAATTTAGTGGCTCCTTCTAACTGGCTGCTAAAAGGCTTGTTTGCTGCATGAACACACTCAGCTTCACACATCACAACATCCTTTGGTACAAGACATCCATGTCTAATACAAAATGAAAGAAAGGCAGGATATGGCAGCAGGAGAGTTCATATATAGATTCTGAACTTTTCTATCAGGGAACATAAGTAAAATGTTGCAAGTCTTTCAGATATCTCAGCTGTCAGGTAATTGTGTAATTTATGGCAGCTACATAAATATTGCAAAGTGCTGATGTGACTTAGTAAAGATAGATTTCCTTTGACAGTCAGATACTCAAACGTTTTTCAGACTAATTTATTAATCAATTAAGTCAAATTGACCAAAGGGCAAATGTAGCTTTAAAATCAATCTCCTGAGAATGTTTTGGGGTCACTTTAGACATCACATGTATATTGAACTTTTTTTATTTTACCAACTAGCAGCAAAGTGTTGCTGTGACTGGTTGAGGCAAGTGTATTTAAAAACGTTACAGTTAAAATCCTGTGTAATTTAATGACTAAGAGTAATGTCATGGTTCTGTGTAACAGATACAGGTAAACACGCCTCAACGGTTAAAAGCATGTTGTCATTGGTGTTTCTCACCGAGGTCAGTGAACTGATTTTTTTCCCCCCATATTTCTAAATGGGTAAGTTTGACCAACTCACATATGTGCTGACAGCAGCGGTGGTTCCCATTCTCAAGTTCTTATACCTCTAAAGATGGGTCACCAAAGGTCACACCAACCTTCTGGACAAAGGACAACTATTATCCAACTTCAATCTCTTTTATTGAAATACTTTTTTTCCCCAATCAAAATTGTTTCACAATCATAGCATAAAAGTTTCCTAACCATAGCGCGTCAGGGTCTTAAAAGTTTTGAGAACAAAAGACATGAAATCCTGTTTTCAGACTGAAAATATGTGCTCTTGGATTATGGCAGGAAAATTCCTCCATATTCTTGCAGTTATAATTCCTTTCTGTGCTCTGGGAAAAACGTGTTACACGGCAGCAAAGATGAGTTCAGTATCGCAGGTAAAAGCACTAAAAGATACAGCAGCGAGTACAGTTATTGGCAGCTCTGATAAAGAGGTGAACCAAAGCCTTCACATAAATGGTTGTCATAGAGAAGTGGCGACCCCAAGGCGCCCCTCATTCCCACCTACAGCATACTCGCTGCGAAGGCACAGTAACAGGCACTGTAGCATGCAGCCAATCGGGCTCTTTGTGGACAATTCTGACCGATGGGTTTTTATTTTCAGACGACTGTAACAAGTTTATAGTTTTGACAAAAGATGTGTCACGAAACAACTATTTCGCTTCCAATACGATACCAATATCTCTCAGTATTTTCCAATACCGACATTTACTCGATATCAGCATGAATCGTACATACTTTAGTGACTTATTTCAATGTGCAGTGTTCTAAAAGAGCTTGATCTAGTGAGAATTACAGAGAATTACAGGCAACAATAATAGATTTGAGAACAACTAAGCCACTGATTATTAACCAATGGAGTCTGCATGTAGAATACAACCACTGCTGGACAGAAAGGCCGGGGCAACTGATTTAGACAAACAAAAAGTCACAACAAGAAAAAATTAAACTGTAATAAAAATTATATATGTTATGATCAAATTCTGAGATTTGATCTCTGTTTGTTATTCGTTTGAAGAGACAGGTGGACGCCATCCGCCCCCGCACACGCACTCAACAATACGTTTTTGTTGGTGTTTAAACATTTTTACCGGTGCGCCAGTAGTTGTTGATACACTATATTGATGTTAGAGTAAAATAACCAAAGACGCCACTTTTTAATTATGAATTTTTTGCTGTGACCAAAAGTAGATAAGATTCTCCCTAACAACGTGAAAGTTTTTAACTCGCAAAGAATCGTAACGAACAGACGAATGCAATAATAGACGTACCATATTCCCGAACAGCGTGCATTCTCACTGATCTTTCAAATCTTGCACTGTGTTTTCACATACTTACCCCCGTCTTGCATCACTATCCTGTGTGAAGATTAATTCCTGTAGCTTAATGGTTAATGTGAAGGCCTGTGGCATTCATTTGCAACTAAATTAGCTTTCCTTTCATAACAAGTAAAAAAGTGTCTTCGAAAAAGAACAGAGCTTTTGCTATGCTCCATTTAATGTTTACTTTTTAAAATAAAACAGAAAGTAAGAGAAATCACACCAAGAGGAACAAGTGTAATCAATCTATGAAGGATAAATCCTGAAAAAAATGAGTCCTCGTGGCTGTTGGGTGTGGCATGGTGATGTTATTTCAATTTAATTGTACTCAAGTAGCTCTAATGACTGTCATCATGTGTGAGCTAACTAAACTCCAGTAACATGTTGTTGCTGAGGTGAGAGTCCAGAAGGAGGAAGGGAAACAAAAGATAGGAAAGCAGGGTGGAGCAAATGGGAGGGAAGAAGGAAGGAAGCAAGAGAGGGAGGGAAGAAAAGGAGAGGAGAAGTGGGTTTGGGAGGGGTGGAAGAAAACGAGGCGGTGGGCCTGTTTGTTTTCACTGTAAAATTTCATTCCGGCCCAATTTTATCAGGGAAGGAAAACACAGGGGACCCCGCTGCTGCATCTTCTCCACCATCGCGCTGTTCTCTGTTTATTATCCCTGTTTGAAGAGACAGGTGGACGCCATCCGCCCCCGCGCACGCACTCAAACACGAGCCGTGTGCTCCACATTTTCTGCAAAGCAGACAGAGACGGATGAAAACTTAAAGGGACATTGTTCTGGCAAAAACACGCTCGCACACACGCTGACGACGAAGCACCGACTCCTCACCTGAACACGAGAACGCAACAAAAAAAATCATCAAACGTTCACCAATGCCTTGAGCGAAGATGCGGGAGGTGCCGCCTCGCAGACGTTTGACAGGTTGTGTTGAATCGTTCTGTCAGTGGGAGTGTGATGGCAGGAGTGCCACTGGGCTTGTGGTTCAGCTTATCTGGGTTTTACAGACTTAACCACCCCTCGTTCTACATCCCTCCATCGCCACTGGTTTTAAAATGCAACAAACACAACCTCAAAACACATCTCGTCTGCCTCATCCCTGTGGTCAAGGTCACAGCTGAGCCCAGATCTCTGGAAATCCATGAAAACATAGCTTTAATTTGGCCAGAGCGGTGAAAGCACTGCGAAGGCTTATTATAATCATAGTGTTTATTTTAACAATATTTTTGTCAAAAGAAGTGGCTTTTTGGAGACCTTAACATATCTGAAAATTCACCAAACTTAGCAGATGTGTCAGATCTGCGTGAAAATTACGTATTTTACAGTAGTGGCAAAAAATCGTAACAGCACAGCTCCATAGTTCCACCAGGGCAACTTTTAAAATATTATATGCATTGACCTTTATTTATTGTAGAGGCAAAAAATTTGGTACACTTCTAGAACTCCAGAAGCCCTAAATATAAGTATCTTATATTCTTATATTATATTCAAGTATACCAAACAAATTCCAACTTGAACCCCATTTTGGCCTTTTACAGCCTCTGCATTTTATCACATTCCTCCTGGGGATTTTGATCGATCGGTTTCAAACTTGGTCAGATTATTCATAAGGCATGGCCAACATGGGAATGTTGACAAGATCTACAAGATCTACTAAACAGCCATGGATAAAACCCAACAAAAACTCAGTAATTTTGGATCAAAATTCATATTAGATAGCAGTTCTTATTAGGGACATATAGGACACCTAGCATCTAGCTATGCACCAGCGAGTTAAATTAGAGTGACACAGTCCCTGTAGAAGTTCAATATTTTTCAGATTGAGGCGCATTACACAAATTATGCAATGTAATTTAACTTAACTTAAAGTTCAAGAAAATGAGGAACGCTTCACGAATTTGCGTGTCATCTTGCGCCTGCAGCATCTCAATGTTAGAGCGGAGAAGGGCTTACTTTGAGCAAAGTAAGCCCAACGCCAGCCAATCGGTGCTTGCTTCATGTCCGGGTGGGCCAATCATCCCGAGCTGGTGGCTCACTGTGGCTTACTTTTGACCAATCACCCTCCACGTCCTGGCGCAGTGACGACGACGAGCTAAGTGACAGGAGCTAGGATTATTTAATAAATAATTGTTTGAAATAGATTGGCGATTGGTAAGTTTAAATATGTTTTTCTTTGCAACAGCTCAGTGTATGAGATTCCGTGTTTATCTAGCCGAAGTTAGCATAACATGTCACTGCGGGGAGGAGAACGATAACGGGGCTTCGTGTGGGATTTTTTTCCACCCCCGCCAAAAAAAACAGAAAACATATAAATTGCACATAATTCTGTAAGACGATTCCACCAATATGTGTTATTTCTTGTCATCAATATATGTATTTTTGTCCGCCTATAGCAACGCGTTGTTTTGCTGGGTCCTGCTGTCCACAGTGTGGGC